GCTGCGTTCTGAGACATTTGTAGGGGTTTCACCGTACAGGCTGGAAGGGCATTGCAATAGTCAAGGTGAGAGATAACCATGGCCTGTACCAGAAGTTGGGTGGCATATTTAGTTAGGTAGGGCCTGATTTTCCTTACGTTGTATAGAGCAAAGCGGCACGACTGAAAGACAGCAGCAACATGGTCTGAAAAGGACAGCTGGTCATCAATCATGACACCCAGGTTTCTCACCACCCTGGTTGGAGTGATGGTTGAGGCGTCAATTTGTAGTTTGATGTTATGGTGGATAGACTGCTTGGCTGGAATGACCAAGAGTTCCGTCTTAGAGAGGTTTAGTTGAAAGTGGCAAGCCTTCAACCATGCGGATATGTCTGAGAGACAGTCCGAGATCCACTCTGAGACTCTGGGGTCGTCAGGCGGGAAGGATAGGTAGAGCTGCGTATCGTCTGCGTAGCATACACAGCACATCAGATGGTGTTAACAGTATCAATGGTTGGTAGCGGTAATCTGCAGCAAAAGGTAGCAATGTGGGAGTAAAAGAAGAAAGAAAGTAATGCATGTATGTCTGTGTATCTTCTGCAACATATTTACCTTGCATCATCTAGACTGTGAAATAAAGACTGTTAATTATAGATAATGTTTTAAATTATATGCTAAACAAAGCAGAGACTGTGGTTGTCTAGAAAATAAAAAAGTCTAGTCAGGTTGAGTAATGTTTTCAGAATCAACAAAACCACAAACCACAAAATGGGTGAGTTAATGTGTGCTTGTGCATGTGTGTTCTTCAAAGATGCATCCAAATTTACACACAGTTTACGGGCTCAAAAGTAATCCTCCCTGGGATACACAGTAGCTTAGCCAACCTATTCTTCCTTCAAAATCTTGGCGGTGCAGACTTGAACCAAAGAGGAGAAACAGACACATACCATGACTGAAAAATTAAGTTTTATAAAATGAGTGGAGGATGTTTTCATGTCAGCAGTCTTTGTTTCCTCTTTTCTGTCTTTCATTCTGTGTCTGACTCCAAATCTTCCATTTTGATACTTTTCAATGTGCTTTTAAGCTCACATTGTTTAATCAACTCAGTGTCTGTGTGTGGTCTTGGCTCCTTCTCACACAACACATATCAGTATCAAAATCATCGCTGACCATTGTTTTCTTTTTTTGGAAAACCCTTCCAAAGGCTTAGTCAGAAGCATGCAGTCTAAGCTGGCCAAAAGGCTGAGGTCTTGGATTAACTAATGTCATTCTCGTGAGTTGGCAACATTTTTAAGCAACACCACAAACCATTGTCAACGACTGCAATATTGGTCAGAAATATCGCAATTATATACCTCCCCCTATCTTAAAGCCTGATCTTGACAGCATCTTACTCAGCAGCAAACTTCTCCAATTCACACTGAGATCACATGCCACCCTCACATAACCACGTGTGACAGTAAAGCCACACATGCAACAATATCTTCCCGACACAGATGACGCCAAACAAGACAGGCTCCAACTCAGCATCACCACGAACAATCCTAGACAGGAGCCTAATTATTTTGTGCCAAAAATGTGACCACAGCTCCAGCCCGGGGAATTAGGTTACATGATTTATGTAAATGCAAATGACCAGCACCAGTGCAGGAAATTGTGTGAACTTTATGTGTCGAGCTCGACGGTGAGACAGTTGGTCAGGGTGGTGGAAGATGAGAGAGTTCACATCCCATCACAGGTTTAGCTTACTGTTAATTGTGACCACAATCTTTCTCTAAACCTTAATCACACCATACGCCATTCGCACGTATTGTAGAAAGCAAGAATTTTGTCACTTGTGCTTTGTTGACATTGGCATACCGTTTAAAAACCTGTTTTCTTTTCTGAAAACCCCTTTCCTTTGCTGGACTTGCCTATTTAATGAAGCTGACATTACATATGTTATTAGCCCCCTCATTAGGGATTTGGGAGGGGAAGTGCTGCGTGTCCACACCAAGAGCATCTGGAAATCCATTTTATTTCACAGAACAAAAGTAATGCATCACTTTCTATAGTGATTTTCTGTTATGTCTGAATAATGTCTTCAGTTCAAAATCATGTTTATAAGCAATTTTCATGAAATTCTGGAAAAGCCATTAAGTCTCTGGGTGACTTAATGTGTCTTTTGAACTGCTGGAGAACAGAACATTAGGCTTACAACTTTTGGCAGTGAACATAAAAAAAAAAACTAATTACACAGAAGGTAAAGCAGGGTTTTGTAGAATCGTTCAATATTGACCGTCTGTCAATGTTGCAAGCTCTCACTCTGGGTGCGTCAGGACCAAATGGCAGTGACCCAGAACCTACGTATTCCCACAGAGACGCTCAATAGATACACAGTAACACGATTGTATGTCTCCTACAAAATACATGCAGACAGAATTAACAGACCTCTCCATTATCTGTGAAAGTGTAAAACTGTTACTATCAGAGACTCTTTATTTCAACACTTTTTTGGATTGTACTATATTCTGTTCCTCAGTAAAAAGCTTTAAGTTTACTTCATTGTGTGTATGCAGTGTACACAGTGCCTGAAAACCATGAAGCCACTAGCAGAAATGACGATGTTCCAAAGTTATTTGAAAGTTTAAAATGGCAAACATATGTTTGATTATTCCAAGGAGTTTCTTTTAGTCTTCTTGCAGAAACATTAAATCAAAACCACATTTCACATCTCTTATTGTGAAATGTACTGTATTCATTTTTCCAGTGTGATGAAAAGAAATCTGTGTGAAATGTGTTGTTAAAAGCCAAACTGACCCCAATTCGCCTCCTCTAAACTCAACAAACTGTGTGTGTGTGTGTGTGTGTGTGTGTGTGTGTGTATATAAGATATTTTATAAAAACAAACCTAAGCTTATTTACTTAATGGAAAGTTAATGAGACCACATTCCAATGTGTTTAAACTAAACTGACCTGTAGCAAGAATTATTTTCTGAACAAATATGCTCCAAGTATTTTAGCTTTTTTTTTTAAATCAGCATTTTCTTTCAGACAATTATAGGAGCTCTCTCAATTCAACCATCCCTTTCTTCATCTACCTTCCCTCCATCTTTTAGGCCTCAGGCTGGTTTACGTGAGACAACATGCAGACAAACTAAACATCTGCACAGACCACACACACACACTCAATACAACTAAATAGCTCTGAAACAATAAGTTGACCAACTGAAGAATCAATCTAAAACTGTTTTTGTAACTGATAAATTGGTTATTAGTAGATCAGTCATTAATCGCAGCATCTCTATTTGCACAGCTGTGCTTTGAGCTAAATGATAACATCGTCATGTTAACATGTTCACAATGTTTAGCAGGTAATGTACAGCTTCTACAACTTGTAGCCTGCGACCTCACTTACTAGACTTCCTTCTATGCACTTGTAAAGACCACGACTGAATCATGGATGTCACATTGGATTATTGTCATTATCGATTAAACGATCCTTTATTTTTTAATAATTGTTTAAAGAGGAATTCTACTGATTTTTGCACATAAAGGCCAGTTTACTACTAACTCGGAGTCGTTCTCAGCCTGTAAAAACAATTGGAGGGGTTTTGCCATGTCTGAGAAAACACACCCAGATGATGTCATAGTGATGTCATTAAGGTTTGGGCTTAAAACCTCAAACGTATAACCGAATGCCTAAACACAAACTGGAGGCTTGGAGACTGAAAGATGTGGATGTTCACCAGGCAGGAAGGACCCAACAAAGATGCTACTATTAATTGCATTATGGGAAATGTAGGCCAGTATAGGGGAGTAAAAGTCAGGATATTTCAGCCTCAGCTTTTACAACAGTTTTTTTTTATCTGTCTCCTCCCACTTTATGGATGTGCAGATTAAATTGCTGAAGCACTCTCTTATTGTTTAGTTTATAAAATGGCAGACAAGCTTGTCATGCAGTTGCTTATTTTGTTCAAACAAAAGTTCAAATCCAAATGGCTTCAGTATATAATGACATAAGATAGAGAAAAGATCTAAATCGTTACCCTGGAGAAGCATGGTAGATAAACAGTTAACAAGTAATTATTATTAAGACTATCTAATCTCCTGATACTAAACTATTTGATTATCAATTAATGTTTCCACACTTGGCAACCTGGGAGTCTTGAACCTGAGCATCTTGAACTTTTCTTCTCTAACGCTGCTCGCTGCATATGAAGACTGACATCAACAGAAACACCTTATCACTGTGAGAATAGCAGCTTTCTCAAAGCCCCAGGACCGCTGATAAGCAAGCAGTTTCAAAAGTTATCAAACACACTCCAACAACATTGTATCAAGCACACTGAGAATTTGAAATTGTGTGTGTGCATGTGTGCAGTGAAAACATATAGCACCAAGTGTTTACATTATACAGTAGTGTTTTTTTTTTTTTAGCTCAATGGGGTTTATTCTCAGAGCTCTTTCATGCTGTCCCCAGCTGTGGAGTGTGTGTGTGTGTGAGGTGGATCTATATTCTCACACTGTCACCTGCTGTGATGCCTCAACTCATACTGTGTACATGTCTCAACCTCTGGCCCAGAGAGGCTCAGCTTTCAACTTCCTCCGCAGCTATCACAACATGCATGCTGGATTATTAACAGAGAGAGATATTCCAGCTCTTAAAATAGTCCAATAAGGCAGCAGCATACATGCAAGTGTGATATCACATATCAAGTGTAGCTATCAGCAAATGCCCTTAGTCACTGGGGTACTTTCAGCATTGTGCGCTGTTGGAAAGGTGATGCGCACTGCGACTTTGTGACCATTTCACCTTGTCGACGTATCTGGTGGAGCTACAGCATCGGCTCTTAACTAAACAGCTGCATTAATCGAGTTGTCGAGGAAAGAGTAGCCTATCAACGTCCTCTTTGTGGACATCCTTTCCACCCTCCCCCCAAATCAACCCCCCCCCCCTTCAGTATTTTTGGCAGGCTGTGTCAACAGTCTCAACACTGTCCTGTACTTTCTAATGCCGACGAATGAGAAACACAGACTTACCCTCACACAACCGGCCTGCGATGCGCTCACATCTGAGCAGCACGTCGGTTCGTTGGCAACAACGTTCATGCATTCATACGTCTGTTTTTCTCTCGTCTCTTTCAGTAGCAAAACTCAACTCAACGCTCCGCATTCACCACAGCTGGCACAGAGAGGCGAGCGGCGGGGGGTGAGGCAGGGGGGGGGGGGGGGGGGTTCTGACTGGTCCAGATTCGACAAATAGCAGACCAGCTGGTTACTTTGGATTTTTACAAATAAGCCGCCAGATTATAATCCTGTTAAAACGTGCGTCAGAGTCCAAAGCCAGATACTGGGTCAGAGAGGGAGGACATAGCTCGTCCAAAGGTCTTTGTTCATGCAGCAGTATGATGCTCAGTGACTCTGTAACACCACCAATACTAATTTCAGATGAACTGGCAATAGAGCCTGAGTACAGCAGGAGATGTAACACAACAGGGGCATAGCTATATGGGCCCTAATGCACCAAAGGGGACTCTGTTATAAACATCTGCCACCAGCCACTCATTCATTTATTGATCAGCTATCAAGCAATTGGAACTATAAAGCAGTCAGAGGAACATATAAATGGCATTTCTTAATGTGTTTTGCCAGACATATTTTGAGTGGAAACGTAATGAAATTGGACCGAAATTTGTCTGGCAATGTTTGTTTTGGGTATTTTTAGATTACATTACACATTGTTTGCGGAATTTGTTTTCTGCAGAATGCAAGGTGTAGGGCAATGGTCAGCGTGGGCAGTTTGTGTACAAAGTTCAGCACTTAAATACAGGTGACCGGGGATTTGCAACCTGATTCACACCTGTGGTTTAGGCCACAAAAACACTTTGCCTGAAGTTAGGTCAACATAGCAGTGTGAGTTAAATGTTAATAAAGAAAACACAATGTGTCTCACTGCTTGAGCCACTGACTTAAACACCATGATCTGGGCTATTTCTTCAACCCATTTTCTGTGTTAGTTGTGTTGGGTTCAAATTATGGGTTATTTTTTCAGAGAGTAACCATTTTCTGGGTTATAGGGCAAATAATTTGACCCAATTCCTGGGTTGTTTGGGTTTCTGTGTTATTTTTCAAAGAGTAACCCATGTTCTGGGTTATAGGTTTGACTTTCTCTCTCTCAAATTCAAATTCAAATTAGATTTATTAACATGAATGTATAGCAACCACCCTGCAGTTGTTCTGGAAAACAGTCGTTTGAAATAACCGTCGCTTTGCGTTCGATCCGTTTTGGCCTGTGCTTCTTCGGTGCAACTTTGTCATGTATTGAAGGTCAGCGAGTATTTTCAGTGTTGATGTTGAAAATTGGAGTGAAAAGTGGAGTGAAAATTCCCATGGCTAAGTTACTATGTTGAGACTAGCATTAGCCGTGGTAAATCTGTGGTTGCCATGTACATCTAAATAGTTTAAAGTCCATGTAAAGTCACACATGACATGACACAACCAATGTTTGAAGACTTTAAGCTTTAAGTTCAATCCAGTTATTGAATGTTGTCCAATGTTTGAGAGTTTTTTATTTTTCTATTTTTTATATAGAGTTTAATTTAATGCAATAAAAATTTAAAAGTGGTTGAAGTGTGTAATATTGTCACAGTCATCCCTAATCACATCTTCCTTTGTTCTGTTTTCCAGCCACTCATCTGTTTCCATGGTTTCATTGATTTAGTTCATCTACATCACCTGTGTTTAGTTAATTAATGACAGAATAAGCAGTGCCACTGACTCAAGGAAATTATTTTCCACTTTTAAAGCGCTACTAAATCCTCTTCCACCTCCACCACCCACAAACTTGTCTGCTTATACCTTTGCTGCCTTCTTCACAGGCAAAGTGGAGGCTATAACTAGCCAATTCTTTGAAACACTCAAACTCAACCATTGTAGCAGTCCTACTACATCTTTTCCTCTGCCCTTCCAGGTCAGTGGTTGTTCACTCTCCTCGTTTACTCCTCTCACAGAGAGCGAAGTATCAGAACTCTTGACCCGTAGCCGTCCAACTACATGCCCACTGAACCCGATTCCTGCGAATCTCCTCCAAGCCACATCTCCTACTGTGGTCCCAACAATCACTCATGTGATAAATACTTCTCTGGCTTCAGGAACCTTCCCGACCACTTTCAAAAGGGCTCGGGTTACACCCTTGCTCAAAAAACCCTCACTTGACCCAACTCAAGTTGAGAACTATCGACCAGTGTCTCTTCTACCTTTTTTATCCAAAACATTTGAACGGGCAGTATTCAAACAGGTCTCAGAATTCCTCTCAGGGAATGACCTCCTAGATCCATATCAATCTGGTTTTAAGAATGCCCACTCTACTGAAACGGCTCTTCTGTCTGTAACAGAAGCCCTAAGGTCAGCTAAAGCTGCAGCCCAATCCTCGGTTCTTATCCTGCTTGACCTATCAGCTGCCTTTGACACAGTCAACCACAGGATCCTGCTATCCGCTCTCTCAGCAATGGGCATCTTAAGTAAAGCACTCCTGTGGTTCGAATCCTACCTCTCGGGTCGTTCCTACAATGTTTTGTGGCAAGGACAATTATCCTCCTCCCACTGCCTCTCCACAGGGGTGCCCCAAGGCTCAGTGCTTGGGCCCCTTCTCTTCTCAATTTACACCACCAAACTGGGGCCGATCATTCGCTCACACGGCTTCTCTTACCACTGCTACTCAGACGACAAGCAACTCTACCTATCCTTCCCGCCAGGCGATCCCACTGTTTCGGCGCGGATCACGGACTGTCTATCAGATATATCAGCATGGATGAAGGCTTGCCACCTTCAACTAAACCTCTCTAAGACTGAACTCTTGGTCATTCCAGCCAAGGAATCTATCCACCATAACATCAAACTACAAATTGACTCCAACCATCACTCCAACCAAGGATGATGAGAAACTTGGGTGTCATGATTGATGACCAGCTGTCCTTTTCAGACCATCAAACCATTCTGTGAAGGCTTGCACTTCCTGGCTTTTGATTTTGACCCAGGTGTCGTCCACATATCTGTACCAGTGGCTCGGTGCTATTCCTCTGAAGGAGTTGAGGGCTTTATTCTCCACTTCTTCCATGTAGATGTTGGCCACAATCGGGGATACCGGTGAGCCCATGGCACAGCCATGCTTCTTTCTGTAGAATCCACCGTTGTACTGGAAATAGGTGGTGTTTAGACAGAGGTCGAGTAATTTGCAGATTTGGTCAGGGCTGAGGCTAGTTCTGTTGTCCAGGGTGTTGTCTTGTGTTAGCCGTTTCCTAACGGTTTCTACTGCCTCTATGGTGGGGATGCAGGTGAACAAAGAAGTCACGTCATAGGATACCATGGTTTCATCTGGATCCAGTTTTAGTCCTCGAACTTTGTTTACAAAGTCAATAGAGTTTTGGATGTGGTGAGGCATGTTTCCCACCAATGGAGCTAAGATGGTGGAAATGTGTTTGGCAATGTTGTAGGTGACCGAGTTAATGCTGCTGATAATCGGCCTGAGTGGGGCTCCTTCTTTGTGTATCTTGGGTAGCCTTCACAGAACACATCAACTCTGTGGACAGTAACATCAGGTTCACACGAGAAGATGTTCACAACAACAGTTTGGCCTTCCTGGACTGCGCTGTACACATTGAAGAGGACAGGAGCCTGCAGATTGGTGTTTACAGAAAACCCACATACACAGACCAATACCTACTCTTCGATTCACACCACCCACTGGAGCACAAGCTAGGGGTCATGAGAACACTGCACCACAGAGCGGAAAACATACCAACAAGCGCCCAAGCCAGAGAGAAGGAACAGAACCACCTGAAGGGGGCACTTACAGCCTGTGGATACCCTAAATGGACTTTTGTGAAGACAGCCACAAAATCCAAGAAGAACAAAACTACAGGGGAGGAGGAAAAGAAGGTCAAACGCAACAACATTGTGATTCCATACGTGTCTGGAGTATCAGAGAAACTCAGGAGGATTTTTAACAAACATAACATCCCTGTGTTTTTTAAACCCAAGAACACACTAAGACAGATGCTGGTACACCCCAAAGACCGCACACCCAAACACAAGAAAAGCAATCTAGTGTATGCGGTCCAATGCAGTGAGGAATGCACAGACCTGTATATTGGGGAGACTAAACAACCACTACACAAACGCATGGCTCAACACAGAAGGGCCAACTCCTCAGGTCAAGACTCTGCAGTCTACTTACATCTGAAGGACAGAGGACACTCGTTTGAGGACCACCAGGTGCACATTTTAGACAGAGAAGATGGATGGTTTGAAAGAGGTGTCAAGGAAGCCATCTACACCAGGGTTGAGAAACCGTCATTGAACAGGGGAGGGGGTCTACGCCACCACTTATCCCCCACTTACAATGCTGTCCTTTCATCACTTCCCAGGAAACTCAACAAACGTAACCTATTGGCCTCAGGTGAAGATACGAACGATGGTCGTTCAGTCTTGGCCACAGGTAGTCTCAACGACTGTAACGACTGTCGTCACAGCAACAAGGAACACTAACGAACCAGCGGTATCGATGACCCGGGCCAACGACCCCACTGAGGTTAAATAGCTGAGTTTCCCTGCCAGTCAGTCAGAACTGAAGAAGTCCTTTGGATAAGGGACGAAACGTCTTCCAGTAGCTTCAACCAAGTCCAGTTGCCCTTCATTTTAACCTTCGTTGGATAACTATGACCTGGATGACTGAGAATCTTCATAGACATTTTTCAGACCATGTTGCTACTGTCTCTTGGTCATGCCGCTTTGCTCTATACAACATAAAATAGAATAGAATAAAATCAGGCCCTACCTCACTCAGTACGCCACCCAGCTTCTGGTACAGGTGAGGTTATCTCTCGCATCGACTATTACATTGCCCTCCTAGCAGGTCTTCCAGCTTGTGCGGTGAAACCCTTACAAATGTCTCGGAACGCAGCAGCGCGTCTGGTTTTTGTCACCTCCACTGGCCCCCCGTGGCCTCCAGAATCAAATTCAAGTCACTTATGCTTGCATACAGAGTGACTACTGGGTCTGCACCATCTACCTAAACTCCATAATACAAACTTACGTTCCTTCTCGGCCGCTACGCTCCTCCAACGAACGCCGCCTGGCTCTGCCATCCCTTCACACAAAGCAATCCCAGTCCCGGCTG